GAACGGCTGTGCCGTTCTCGCCACAACAAAGTACAACTAAAGTTGCTCTTGCAAAAGCAACTAAGTACAAAGCCAACCCGGCAACTGATGAGGTTCGTGAGGAGAACCGAAACCATGGTCTTGCCTGATCACAAACTGTGGCAATAACAAAACAGTTTAAAGACTGTTAAGCTTATTCAAAGCTATTACCAAGGGAGGAACTACGCGCTCCAGTCAAAAGACTCACACTATCTTTGGAAAAACACTAAGCTGGAGTTTACTGAGTCATAATTCAATTCTCCATAGTAAATTTATGTAGCTTCAGTTTAAGCTGCAGTTCACTCTTATAATTTTGGATCTGTAAGTCACTATCCGTGATAATTTAACATTCTGCAAAGAAAACTGACGAGCTGGGCCCAGCGTGATACAGCATTGCAGAAAAACATTACACTCACGGACTAAAGAAAATCGCTTAGTTATTCAGACCCAGAAGGCACTTTGGAGAAAATTGGAAAATTGGAACCCTTATTCAGTCGTAATAAAAAAGCTTTACGTTTCAAAAGAGATCAAAGAAAATGCGCTTGCACCAGAGGGCAAATCCTGCCGACCAGAAAACAATAACTACAGTCAATCGATATGTATGTCATGACCTCTCAGTGTGAAACATGCGACTAAAATCACATTTGCTCAGTATAAATGCAGAACCTTCCAGAGCATAATCTACCCAGCAGATAAAAACAATTTTATTGGAATAAGCAGCATTTTGGCATGAGGTAAAAGTCGTGTAGGCCTACCACCCCCTTTTGTTGCAAAATTTGAACCCAAACTTTGCTATAATGAGATGGCGTTCGAGAACTTACAAAGATATTCCACGAAAATATTACGTATACGTTGTCCGGGCAACCTCGTCCCCAGGGCTTTTTCCCTAAAAATGGGTGGGGCGTTCCACCCATTTTTTAAGGGAAAAGCCCTTGGGACGAGGTTAGTCGTCGGGGATGAAAAGGTCAGTTCGAAAAAGACTGTTAAAAGTAAATCCATACGAGACTCATACGATGATATCTATTGTCCAGCGTTAAATTGAAAGTCTTATTCTACTCACACATCGCTCTTGATGGTAAAGGTGCCTTGATAAAGTGATTCTGGAGCCATCCATTTGATGGGAAGTTTCTTACACTTTCCTGAGCTATCCACATCTTCATAGATTTGTCGCATCAACCCAAAGTCAGACACTTTCACCCGATTGTCACGGCCAACAAGGACGTTACGAGCTGCAAGGTCTCTATGAACAAGATTTTTTTCGGCAAGATGATTCTAATTATAAAGGTAGAGAAAGGGAAATCAAATTTGAGCATCACATAATAGCAGCTTACTAAATCAAGGAAGAGCCGTCAGTTCAGACACCAACACTTTGTACAAGCCAAACTTTTTATACAGAATTCTTCCAAAATCCCTTTGTACCCAGATCAAAGAACACCAATCCCGTGAACCTTCTGCTGTTTTTGAACACTGCCGAGCAACGGCGGTCACAACATCAACCCACACAATGTTAAAGTTCTATCTGACAAAAATAACACCACCACAGAAAGTACCGCGTCAAGGCGAGGCCATTACCATCGAACAAAGAAAACCCTCTGTGAATAGTGACGAGGGACTGGACCTCCCGGCCATCTAAAATCCTCTCCTTGGGGAGCATAACAACCTTCAGGTACATAACCTGGCGTTTTACATTTCTGATGAAGTTCGAAAAACTCGATCGAAATATTCGATTTTGTCTTTAACTTGTTGCTCTGAGTTTTGAAATTTTGTAGAATAAATAATCACAGGATAATCAACGTGATTTTAGTTGGGCCATAGTTATTAAATTGGAGTGGTTGTTAAGCCCGTTACACTCTTTGTTATACGTTTTTGTTAGTCTTTCTGGACCTGACCGTACACAATTCTCAATCGCATTCCTATCATTTTGATCTTACTGACCAATAGAAACTTCACCTTAATTTATTCAGTCACAATTTGTGAACAAAAAACAAAGGATTGTGCATGGTCAGGAAGCTTGTAACGTAAACTGCCGCACCGTTGTTTTCAACTTTAATATTTGCCGGCTTTTCAACCAGTCTCCTCTACTAACTATGGTCAGCGAATTAAAATTCGCCAATAACTTTTAACACTAAAAGTCTGGCGTCTGATCTGCAATTTTCCCATAATGCTTTGTATGACGATGGTTGAGTTGTTTCTCAGTCCTCTTAAGTTGTTGTCCATCGTGCAATAGCGGTTTCTGGTCCACTAGTATTTTCAGTAAAGTCACGCTCAGGTACTTGAATCATGTAGAATAGAATAGAATAGAATAGAATAGAAACTTTATTAAAGTGTCAAAAACCGTCTAGCCGGGGAAAAAATCCCTTACTAATTTGGGGACACCAATTAGGGGAGAATATACAAACTAAAAACTATATACAGTAGTAGGTAAAATATCTATAGTTAACTAATTAAGAGATTTATAGTAAAAATACACAGAAGTCAAAATGAACAAAGGCTATGTCTTTATTTTCGATCGAGGTTTTTGAATTGAGTCGGCTTCATGCCACGAGGGTACATCAAGGGAATATATGTGAATGTGTAAAAATGTGGAAAGAGGGTGGGCTATTCTGGAAGAAAACCAAGAGCTCAAGGAACCGAAATGGGCGTAAAACAGAATGTTGGAAGATCGTGCGATTGCTTTCAAGATACCAAAACTGCAGGAAAAACTCATTTCCTAAAACTCGTCTTTTGCCGATTTTTTCACCCAATTTAATTTTACGGCATTTTATGGCCGGATTTGGCTGTTTTGCGCTCAAAAGTGGTTTTATCTGAAATACTGGTACTTTTCTTAAAGGCAGGTAGATTTCGGTAGAGAAATTCTACTTTCTCAATTTGCCCCATGCAGTTCGCCTTTGAAATCAGTGTCCATTTTTAAGTCGGATATGATAGTCGGATATGATAAAATGTAAACAAATACAGTAGCTACCATTCCCCTCGCTATTTGCCATGCAAATCGAAAGAGCTGTTGAGTAGAAAAGCTTTCTTCCTCGTCATGTGGATCCTCCTCGAGACTTTCACTTGAAGGCGGCTTCGAGACAGTGTGCTGACTTTCCACGGCTGGGTTGTTTGACATGCTCAACTCTTCTTTTGTGGACTCTTTTAATCCCTTATCCTAAACGCACAAATAGTGTAAAACATGTCAAGAAGGGTCTAGAATGGAAAACAACCCGTATTTTTGTGTAGACCAGGAAAGCGCGGGCGTGCGGCTAAACGAAAGGTCTGAATGGACGCCTCTCAGCCGTCTGAGGCTCGCTTCTCGAGAGAATCTTACGCCGCGAGTTCGTGCCTTTGACGACTGTTTTGTAGTCTGAGATGGGTCAAATGGACATGAAAATTGAGAAAAAATGTTTATTTATAAACATCAGTAGATTATTTTGTAGGCAATAAATTGCATAAAAGAATTGGAAAAATAATATATTTGTTTATCACTACAGGAGCCATGGGAGTAGGAGACCAGTCGAACCTGGGCAATCTGCATGGCCTAGATCACTGCGCCACGCTAGCTGCCAAGTTAAATGGGAAAATTATTACATTAGTCGCACGCTGTTTGAAGCTGGTGGAGCTGTATTTTTCATGAATTCAAAGAAACATTTGCGGAAAATTAGACACAATTATTTGTTGTTGTTGTTGTTGTTAACTTTCCGCCCTCCTTTTCCCCGCAAGGTTTTTTTTGTTTCTTCCGAACGGAATGTTCATCACACGACATCTCCGACATCTCTTAGTAACAGGATTTGTCAAAAACACTCCAAATACGGTGATTAACATCATGATCAGAATTACATTTTCAGTCCTCTTATTCAGAGTTATTGTCAAAGAGGTTATCCTCAAGGTCTTGCCTCAGATTCAGAGTAGGGGAAGAGGACAGAAATAGAATTTATTCATTTCCTACGATGGTAATTTCTGACGCCCTTTTTGTTGGTTTATCCTTTGCGCGGTGCCCCCGCGATAAATGTGCACATTTGGCTATTTCGATGGAACGAGCCGCATTACTGGAGAAGGTATCCGGTTTCGATCTCCTACCCCTATAATGGCTCCCGATAGAATATTAAGTAATAGACGGCTGTGGCCTTTGAAAGTTGTTATGCAGAGGCTCGCTTTGCTTTAAAAATATGCAGAAACTACAGAGCTGTAATGTAAAGAAAGGTTATCAGCTTTGGTTATTTCCTCATAAAAGTGTAGCTATCTTTCTAAATACATGAACAAAATTGCAGAGTTATGTTTGTTTGTTTATTTGTTTTGTTTTGTTTCCAATAATCACCGTCTCAAAAACGGTAAGTTAAGACTAAATGTTGCGTAATCTTGCATATTAATAAAATGAAACGAATTTTTAGGTCACCGGCGCGTCCTCTCTGTTCACGTCACCGTCATCTTGCGATAGTAGAGTCATTTCCACGTTCGTTTGTGTCTGCTCTTACTCTACCTGTTGCTTAGCATTCTTGATTTCCTGTGTGAAATCAAAATCCGAAAACAAAGTAGCCTGTGAAAACAGTTGAAATTACGCGATGCCGGCAAAATGACATCTGAGAAATGAGCGCAAAAATTCCATACTGGTGACGCATCACTGCCCAGATCTGGTGGTGCGTTTGATTGGCTGAAAATTTGCTCCAACCAATCAGAAGTATTACCCAGATCTGGGTAGTGACGCATCATCGGTATGGAATTTCTGCGTTCGTTCCTCAAACGTTATTTCGTGGGGAAACCAGTGATGGCGTCGTGAGATGTCAGCTGTTTTCTCAGGCTAAAAACAAAGTTGTTTTTACACCATTGTAACTTTTTTTTACGGACATTGATGTAGCGGAAAAGATATCATCGACATGACATGCATCATCCTCTTACATTAATTATGCCACCACTTTTGCCAAGGATTTGAGGCAAGGGGATTTGAAACTCTCCTGCTGTGATAATCAAAAATAATTTACATCGCTGGAAACTTTACCCGTTCCATAAATGATCCCAACTTTTAAGATAATTTTTCAGGGTGCTAGTAAAAAGGTTGGTTCGATTATAGCCTCTGTAGTATAACACGATGATAACTGAGCACGTCTTAAACGATTCTATGTAACTGAGGCTCACTCAGCAGTCGATTATTTGTCTGCGACTTTCTCGACTACCTCAAGGGAATCATGAAAAAATTTTAAGTGACAAAAAAAGAGGTGTAGCCCTCTAAAGAAAAAGCTACATAATAAAAAAATAATTAATTATTACCGTTCCCTTCGTCATTTGATTCTCCATTGGCGCGGAAGGGGCTGTTAGCTGGTCTTTGCCAATGGTTTTGAATTCCTCATCCTGCAGAGGTAGAGCCGATAGGGTTGAATTAGACATTGAGAGACGTTCACTTAGCTCTTTCAAGGAAAGGGTCACCAAATTTTAGTCAGTTTGTAAAATGGCCATGCCTTTCTTTTTTACATTTTGTCATCTTGTAATAACGGAGACTTCCGTACTCACTTGTTTCTCCTCTTCTTTATCTTGCACCTGAGAGGGAAAAAACAAAGATTACGGTGTATAATTATATGAAAACCAGATTACGTATTTGGGGACTACTTGGAAAGACTCTTTGAATCCAGGCCATCCAAGGTCACTTTTTCCAGTTAAGGGATCACAGCACAGCTTTCACGGCGAGGTCTATCCAACTATATCGCACAAGGATTTCAGGCAATCTTTTCTGATTAAAGAATGATATAATTAACAATTATTCCATAAGTGCGCGTCGGATATGAGCTGGTACATAGCCGACGAGACGCCTAGCACCATGTTGGCTATAATCATCTCATATCCAACAAGCGCGAGTGGAAAAATTGTTTTATTAAAAACGCCCACAAAATATCGAGAATTCTTTCCGACTTTATTTGTAAAAACAACCGATTTTCAGCTCGTTTTTAATTTTGAGCAGACGCGTGAAGTATTTGAAGAGCGTGGTATAATGGCTCATATACCATGATGGCTAAGCCAATCAGAGCTCTAGAATTGCATTATCCAGTGATTCAGTTTTTAAAAATTACAGTCACCATTACAATATTCTGCATTTTTGCTTTGAGGCAGACGGAGGGGGACTTCATGTCGTTTCAAACAATCGATTAAAATATGCGGACACCCAGGAACTAGACTTCCCTTCAATTACAACCTCTAAAAATAACTTAAGTGAAATTTACATATCCCGGCCAACGTCCTAAGATGCCCTTTCCGCCCCATATAATTCTCTCTTGGTTTACAGAGCTGAGTTGTCAGAAAGCCAACTGAAGTTTGATGTCGTCGCCTGGCCAATGCTGCATTTTAAACTGTCATATCATATGCGTTAACATTAATACTCTTTTATGTTACGGGCTGTAGGGTGCTGTGCCGCGTGGCGAGCACGCGGAAACGGTCTTTAAACGGCACCGACGAGAAAAGAACGGATATGCCCGGCTCGGGTCATGATCTGTCAAAACCAATCAATAGGCAAAGCCATGTTTATCGCAAACACAAATCGTTTTATTGTCCTCCTGGACATGTTCCTTACTGGTATCAACTCATGTGATTTGACATTTGATTTGATAGCAATTTAAAGACAACTCAATCATAGCGTTTAGCTTGCCTCTACCTGATTTTTGGCGTTTCCTTCATCTTTCAAACCCACTTTGTCGTCGTATATTTTGTTGGAGGCTTGGCTTGTGTAGATCTACAAGATTCAGCAGCATCAAAGAGTGAAAACACCTCGCTTTGCATACTCTCACGCTGCGTATAACGTCATATTTTGTTGCCACAGCAAAACGTACTAGTTATTAACAAACGGGTGCAAGCCAAAGCTTGTAGCTCAGCTTAGCTCCATAGCGTTCTGAAATGAGAACTTAGCTTGCGTGCTTTGCCTTCCCTTTCAAACGCCTCCCACACAGGCTAATGAGAACTCGGAGATAGAAATTGAGGAGGACAAGTGTGGTGCGAGGCCAGGAGAATAAAGGGCAGGCGGGGTACGGAAAGCGGGAGAGGAAAGGGTGGGAGGCAGGTGCTCCAGTAGGGTGGGAAGCGGGAGAAATAAGGGGGAAATAACGCGAAAATGCTTAATATTTTGCAATCGAAAAAGGGGAAAATCGGGAATGTTCCTTCTCGTTTCTTAGGAGACGAATCCTTTTACTATTTTCCTTCAGTAACCCTTGGTCATAGTACATTGTATAATTTTCTTCATTTTCTCACCCTGTTCCTTCTACGGCGTAACCACGTCAGCAGATCCCCAAAAGGAACATACTCTATCACCAGGAACTTTTCTTTTTGAAGCGTGCAGCAACCAACCAAGGAAACAACGTTCGGGTGTGAGCCCAACTGCTTCATCTGCTCGATCTCAAACTGGAATTCTTCTTTCTGTGCTGCGCTAGGATTATCTAAACACATCAAAACATACTGGCGCGGCACTTTTTCCGTTAAATTCGACTTCCACTTTAGAAACGGGGAGGAGACTGGGCCGAGTTAGCTTTCGCAAAGGCTTCTGGAATCGTTATGGGGACACACAGGTCAGCCATTGGTCTATTTTTCCCCTGTCCCCAGTAACTAGGGAGTCTTAGTATCGACGACAACGGAACGGAACGGAAGCGAAAACGTCACTTTTAAACAAAAATTCCCGTTTTTTCAATCTTTGTCGCGTTTATTCCAATTTGCTAAAAATGGCAAATGTAGCCGAATTTCCCTGGAGTTGATTTCTTGGGGACCGCACTCAAGTTTAGAGAAAGAAAAATAGATTCGTCGTCGCTTGTTTACGTCCTCCATAAAACTTGTAATTAGGCATTTTCACGTCCTAGTCGTGCAAGGACGGCAAATAAATGTACAAAAAAGCGCGATGCAACGTGCAGAGTTGTTGTTTTGCTCAACAAACCTATTGCTACTTTCTCTAGGCGAAAGTTAACTGGGCTTGGTTTGCTTCTCGTTTGTAAAGTGGCCAACCCAACCATATGGATCATGTCATTCACAACGTTTCGTGTCAACAGAGAGATTAAGATTTACGTTTACGCCAAACGGCAGACGTGAATTTGTACCACGTGACCAAGTTGTCCCCTTATTTTCCGTTTACTCTTTATTTCTTCTACACAGAAATAAGTAGTTTTATGTCTTTTTTTAACCATAGGAATCGCTCGGGACTGTTTTTATCTGCCTATTTTCGTATCAAGAAAAGCAGCCTGAATTCGAGAACAATAGGTGTTGTTTTGTATTGTAATTTTTGACCGTTTCTTGCCTTTTCAGGGCAAAAACGATCAATGTGAAACAATAGCTTTTACGCGCGGCAAATTTCAAAATTACCGATTACTTAGCGGGTGGGTAGGAGTGTTAGTTGACTGGCAAAACAGACGACGCCGTAGTGAGGGGTGAGGCAAGTTTCGAACAGACGAGATTTGAGACGAACAAACCCGAACCGTATTGTTTATTTTGCGCTTCGCGTACTGGCTGCAAATTTTAAGAAAACATACTTCATTTTTTTATGGTAAACATCGTAGTATATAAGGAACTTTAACCACGGATTGAATCGAAGGAGCCGAGAACTTACAATTCACGTGGTTTGGTCGCGGCGCTCTGATCAGTGGTTTTAACAGCTCGCTTTATATTCTGTTGCCGAGTTCGCACTGTTTGAATTCTGCGCCAGGAAATTTTAATCTTCGTTTAAACGACGGTATTATTTTACAGTCGTTTGTTTGAACAGAAATTAACTTCTTTGAATAAAAATCACATCCCACTGAATGCATTGAAGAGCGTGAGTAAATAATAAAGGAACAAAATAACACCTCCCACCTCACTGCCAGCAAAGCTTAAAACACGGTTCTGTGCCCCGGACCCTTTTAAACTGATATAATTTATTGCTCTTTTCAAGCAAAATTCTCGCGCTTGGAGCGTAACTTCTCTAATATGAACGCGCCGTTTACTTGTGTGATTTAAATCAAACAAAAGAAAGCTCATTTTCAGACGACAATTAATATATTGAAAAGGAACAGCAAACAAAAGACTGAAAAAATCGCACCTCACTGCCCACGAAGTTTAAAACACGGTTCTATGCCCCCGACCCTTGCTGATATAATTTATTGCTCTTTTGAAGCAAAATTCTCGCGCTTGGTGCGTAAGTTCTCTAACATGAACGCGCTGTTTACTTGTGTGATTTGAATCTATAAACAGCCAATTTTCAGATGACGATCGAAACACTGAAAAGGAACAGTAAACAAAAGACTGAAAAAAATCGCACCTCCTTTCACCTCACTGCCCACGAAGTTTAAAATACGGTTTTATGGCCCCGCGTCCCTTACTGATATAAAACAAAAGAATTGATATTCACCTCTCTGAGAACAGTTTTTGCTAGAATAAAATTTTAAAGGAGGGCTCTTTTATGTCGTTTATGTTCAGTTGCAGCGGCGATATTTCATTGCGGCGTAGGCCTCAAAGCACGGACTGCGACCGCAAAATTTATACTAGGTCTCTTTCCGCGATCTTATTTCGATTTAAAGTCACAGTTTTCAAGATACAAGCGGACTGATTCACAAAACAGTTTTAAATACGCCTTCGTTTAAGTTCCTTGTAAATCATTTGCAGTGAATTTTGCTGTTAGAACTATTCACTGGTAGGGTTTGTATTTGGGGGAGGTGCAAGTTTAAAAATCACACCTTTGTGCGGTAATTATTATTGCTACAAAGCATTGTTATTGCTGAGTTTGGTTATTCGCATAAAGCAAATGAACTTGAGTCTTAATTTTGCCGTTAGCGGTAAACGTGAATCTTTTGTTATGAAATGAGCATACCAAGCATACCTTGGTATGAGCATGCCAAGCATGAGTACTAAGAGATTGTCTCACCAAGTAAAACCTTGACAGCAACCACCCGAGACTTCTTGCTGGATAACAGTGTCCGTTTTGAAATCTCGGTGCTAAACACCTTTATCCCAACTCTTTCCCAAAGCATTGCTTTGTAAACTACACCGAATGCTCCTCGCCCCAGCTCCCCTTCGTATTCTATTTGCTCGCGAAGAATTTCCCACTCGTCCAGGGGATTGATCGGTCGCTGTAAAAGATATGATCTGAAAAAAAAAGGAAGACAATAAAACAATCTTTCTTCAGCAATCAGCTAATCTCATACCCAGATCTCTCACGGTCAAGGGTTCAGCGTAAGACGAGGGAGATCTGGGTACCAGATAAGCAATCAAGTGCGGTAACATATTGGTCTTAAATTTCGCGTTTTTGGCGATTGTAGAGCAATCGCAAAATTAAAGACCCGTGAATAAAACACGCGAACTTTAATATTCATATGGACAATTTAAATCCCAGAAAAAATATTAACGTGTAGTAACACCTACATATGCGAGGATATGAATCGACAAATAAGCAAATTGTTTACTGATTTTACTGGTAAGTTCCACTTTGTATCATGTGTTGCGATAAAACGTTACGTTAATTTGTAAAGTAAAGATTTCACATATGCCGGTAGGGAACCTTACTAACTATCATCTTGATCTGAGTCTCTAGATTCGTATAAATCCTTTATCTAGAAATTATAAATAGTTCAGTCTTTTTGAAAATATAATAAAGTTGAGAACAGGTGAATCGCGAAATTTAACGCCCTTTTTCCGCAGTTGCTTATTGAAATCGCGAAAATAAAACCCCGCGAAATACTGTCTCGCCAAAATCTCGAATTTACTGCCCGCGAAATTAAGTACCAATAATGTACTACATTACGTAAACATAGGTGTCGTAATTTTAGCATGTAATTTTAGCCCATAACCGGGAGCGACCAACTCCCATACTAGGCCTGTGTCACGGCGTTTTAACGGATCAGTTTATTTTTAGACACATTTTAGGGCACTTTTTCCCACGAAAATAAAATCTCCACCATGTCTATGAGCCCATTCGAAGTATAAGATATCAAAAAAGGAAACTAAATGTATAAAAAGGCAGAAAATATCATTTTTAGCCGGGTCTGTAGGTTTTGCTGACTGGTTTGAGAAATTTAAAAGATAATCAAAATTTGTGCCAAAACCGTTCTAAAAATAAACTGGTCCGTTAAAACGCCGTCACACAAGCGCATGGAAGTTGCTCGCTCGAGATTATGGGCTCCTGTTTTATGCGGTAGACACGTAGAACTGTACAAACCCATAAACCTCCTTTTGTCGTCTCCTCCTCCTGTAGCACCAGATGAAAATAGCAGCACCCAACAGCAACGCAGCTACGGCAGCACCAACAGATAAGGGAATCACCATACTCTTGGGTTTGTTAACTGTGGAATTTTGATATCAATTTAAGTTCCTGGGAAACTGCCTACCTACCCCTCCCCTAAGCCAACATTTGCCCTAAGAGAGAAGAAGTAAGTGATAATTTTGGCTTAGGGGACGGGTAGGCGGGCAGTTTCCTAGAAACCTGAATTGATCCGAATTTTGCATTGAAACAGAAAAGAAAAGAGTAAAATATCTGGTCACAAAGCAATAGTAAAGAAGCTGTGACCCTAAATTAATCAAAGTTCAAACAGTGTGAACCATCACCAAACGGAGTAAAACATAAAATAAACCGCTCAAAACATCTGAAAATATGAAAACTTGACGATATCGATAACACAGCAAATACAAAAGTAGAAACGGATGGGAAAACTTGAAGAAGATTGAGACGGCTTTACAACTGTAAGCCGCTAACAGTTCGTCAAAGTTCATTTTAGTTTTTTGTAACGTTTGATATGATGCTTAGAGACATATTTGTTTGACACGACTCTGTAATTTTAAGTAAGTTGTAAACTATGTATGTGAAAGGGCTACTACCATCTGTCAATGGAAAGTATACAAAAATGGCATATTAAAGGGCGAGGGGTTGGACCTTGGGGAGGAGCCTTCCTGTACAAAACTTTGGTGAGTACTCCCCCATGGGTCAGCAAGCCTTTTGTCCGTTATGCATATCGTTATCCAATCCACTGCAAGAACACCTTAGGAATAGTGCACCTCACCACTTTAGAAACAAGGAGGCTTGGGCCGAGGATAACTTTCGCAAAGGCTTCTGGGATTGTTGCTGTCACTGTTCTCAGTAACAGTCCCAAAAGTCTTTGCGAAAATTAACTTGGCCCAGTTCCCTTCTCGATGCTAAAGTGGCGAATGACAAACGCAAATTATTTTTTAAAATACGTCTTTGGCATACTAAAAAATATAGTATTTCTCTTTTACTAACCTTTATTGCATAAACTTCCTTCGCAGCAGTGTATTACGTTTCCATCCTCCGCGATTTTATTGCAATATTCTGGTTGAATGCATCCATATTTATTGTAAATAAAGGGATCTTGCTGCTTTCCAGAGTAAAAACACTTGCCTTCGTTGAAAATGCACCGACCTACTGCGCATTCCTCAAACTTCACAGGATCTGTACATTCGTAGCACCGCGGACCTGAGTCTAAAATAGCAACGAAATACATTTAATATAAAGGGTCTGACTGTCTAACTGAGATGAAGAAAAAGTAGATTTTTCGGCGAGTTGTTTTTCTTTCGCCTTAGCCTAGTGCACGAATTGGGAGGAAAGTAACCGAATAAGGTTGCGTTCTTTAGGGATGTTCCGGATCAAGATAAGTGACCCGAGATCACTCCGATCATAATGCATCAAAGCAACCAATGAATCCTTGTCCAAAGTGGATTCATTGGTTCCGCCGATGCATCATTACGAGTTACTTAGATCAATCATCTGGATAATGGTCCTACGGAATTCCATCTCAAGTCTTCTTTCCCCCACTTCCTGCTTCTCCACAATTTTTTCTTTTCCCACAACCTCCTCCACCACATTTCTATTTTTTCCCTCCGCCGCCAACGCCACCACTACCACTACATTCTAATGACTGAATTGTGGAGAAGAAGGAAGGAGGTGGGGTAAGAAAAATGCGTTCCGTGTTAGAAAGAGTTATTTTTAATTACCTTCGCCCTCAATAATCTGCACTATTTGCGTGACAAGGATCGGTGAACCAGAGCTGGAACAATTCGTTTTCCTTAATGGACAATGAGAGCGACAGGAAATTAAATGAATTTGTATAATTACGTTACGACTCGGTGATCTTATATAGAGAGCTTTAGATTTGAGGACGAGTACGAGTACGAGATGTAACTACGGCATTCTCGCTAAAATTCGCAGTAGAAGGACGACAGCTATCACGTTTTCCCGCCAAAATGACGCTGGTTCATGCGTGAGCAATACTCAGAAGGTCTATATTAAGTCACAGGCCAGTTAGCGCTTACTCCTTCGACAACATGAATAAACCAATGAATACTTTTCTTAGGTGTTAGTTACCCAATCAAAAACCAAGGCATTCTTTGACCTAAGAATAATCTAAAACCTGTCAAACCAGTTTTTCCACCTCAAGATATCCATGTTATCTTAATCAGATTACCACGCATTCAACTCATGATATAAAGACAAAAGTCTAAGCTGTTATTGGCGTAAATGTATTCCCCCGCAACTTAATGAGATTACTCCCCCAAAAATGAAGTCTTAAACAGCCCTACTACACTACTCACGGCTAGGCCGCCTCTTTTTAAACAAGACTCAAACTATGAAAACCTCGCTCAAGGGTCTTCTTGTTTTCCAATATGCCGCCGCCATTTGAAAACAAGAAGTCCCTAAGAACGAGATTGAAAAGTATGCTACTTTGTAAGATAAAAAATAATTTTTTCTTACCTGTATTACACTTGTCGCCTTCGCAGCAATCTACAATCTTTCTACTGGTCGCATTACACTGGTCTTTGGTAACGCATCCCTTGCGATAAGTCGTTTGTATCTTGCCCTCTCTCGATTCATACTTGATTTTTGCGCAGTAGTGAACAGGTATGGGGCAATCTACGTCGACTTGATTTTCTTGGCATTCATCAAGAGATGAACTGTTTTCACATCGATAGCAGGATATTGCTGAAACGGAGAAAAACAACAATTTCGAACAATTAGACCGAGAAATTTGCGCCGAAATCACTAACCCTAGTCACTTTTAATGATAAATTTATGTTATTTCCCTTTAAGAAAGGATAACATTTGGGGACTTTTTATGTTCATTTTAAGAGCTTTTTTTATGTCGCAGATCATTCATAAATATGATAAAATAAATAAATACGGAAAACTATATAGTGAAAATCAGTGTAATATTTCCCTGGTGATCACTTTAGCAAATTTCAATCATTTTGGTATCTATCTGTTGATTTTGAATCAATTTAGTCCTGCTTTCAAACTTTTCTAAACACGATGAAAGTCATCAAGACGATGACTCGGCCATTAATCAGAGGAATGACGTAACCTATGTGTCATATCACATCATCACGTCTCTTAATTTCTCTAATGATAGAAATTTTTTTATTTGATTGATACACTGCTTATTTGCCAAAAACAATTTAAAATCTTCCGTCACTGCACTGAACAAATAAAGAAGCTTTGATTGTGCTTTGTTCTGTTGTACTGGAGCACTCAGGAAGCGGCACAAAAGAAGTGTAGGGGGAACACGAGACGTAAAACAAACTATATTGGCAGGGCGTGACAGCCTTAGCTCCTGGTTTTAGGTTCTCATAAAGCACGCTTTTTCAACCAACGAGAGTGCGCTTTGAACTTTATTATGAACATTATTGTTGCCAGTCGGTTCTAGAACAACCGAACGCAAGGCCAAACTGAATAGGGTTCCATGTATTGAGCACAGCAGCATCCAAACTGTAATTAGGGCTTCAATTTTGATATCTTTCTCGCCTCACCTGTATTACACAAATCACCATGGCAACATTCCAAGCCTTTTTGGTTGTCAAGTTTTCTGCATAGTTCAGCTGATATACACCCTTGTGCGGTGAATTGTCCATCTTTCACGCTCTTATTACTGTACTTAAAACAGAGACTTTCTGGAAATGAGCAATTGACTTCGGTAGGAACAGATGACATTTGCCCTCGGCACTGATAATAACAAACTTTCGCTAAAGGAAAAAGCAACGTTTTTAATTCTGGGCTAAAGACGTTAACACACTACCAAGGCCTGGGGAGGAGAGGGGAAAGTACATAACAAAATTTTATACGGGGAAGCTATGACCTGAGGTCCAACCCCTTACCCTTTTATATACCAATTTTTGGCAAAAAAAGAGACCCCTTTCGCATATCTTTAATTGACAAATGGCACCCCTTTTACATACCAATTTAGAAAACTGCATCTTTCTTAACTGCTGTAAATGTACCGCCTTTAAGCTATGAACAAGTCGCTAAACCAGACAGTTTTCTTGTGTTTTTCACAGCCATAAAATGCGCCTGGGACCGCAATGACAGATTTCCCGAACGTTTTATATACTTTAACAAGAGTAACCCCTACCCTTTAATACACCTGAAGCCTGAAAAAGGCACTCCTTTCTGGCGGAGCCTCCCCAGATAGGCCATTTTAGAAAGTACCCTCGGATACCAAGGTTACTGATTGTTTGTAAAGGAATTTTCATAATAATTAACATAGGCAACAGAAAAGTTTTTTCTTCTTTTTATCCGAGCAGGGTCTGAGATACTTTTTGGTTTTGTGCGGTTTTTTACCGGCGTAAAAAGCCGCGATGAAAGTTTATATAAAAATAATGATAAGAAGACCACACTTTCCTCATTTGTTTTAAATTAAAGCTACTTCGTAGCCTTCAAATGGAAGTGTGCCACCATAATGAAATCACACCTGGGACGGGCTTTTCACAAAGATAAGCATGCGTTTGGCCACAATCACCGCCTGTCTTTCCATTATCTGTCTTCGAGATTCTGAAACACGATTCAGAGTTGGTTCCTTGGTCGATCCAAATGTCCTTTAAAATAAAAAAGAAAAACAGCAACTAACGAATGATATCAGTAATACTAATGATGATGATAATGATCATGATGATAATGTACTAACTATAGTTCTTTCCGTTTCTTTCGCCTGAGCCACCGACGTTTCATTGTCCTCTGGCTGGCTCTAATTTTTCAAAAGGTGAATAACTAAACACTAAGCAACTTTTGAAAAAATAGGGGCCTGATAACAGCGATGAGCAGTCCTGCAACATCATGTGAAGCTTGTCTAGGACCTGTTTCTATCACTGAACAGCGGTTGAGTCCACATTCATGCTAGTTAGTCTGTGATTGTTTGTAACGTGTCGTAAGGCGTCCCTCTACCCTCTGCGTGCATGCGTTCTCAGTAGGGTATGTTAACAGGTAAAGATTTAGAGGCATTTAGTACCTCTACAAAATATTTCACCATTTATGATTGGCTGATCAATTTTCCGTGTATTTTCTCATAATCAGCAGAAGCCTACCATATTTGCGAAATATAGGAAAAACCAACCAATTCAATCAGGGTCATAGCCCTCCTCGATCTACATAATTGTTATTATCATACTCAGCTTTTTTCAGTAATTGACAAATACTACATTTTTTATATCCATATATGTTTCAAGGTGCTACCTGTTTTTTGGTCAAGCTTACTTAATTCAGCTACCTCTTTGAAATTAATAGTGTCCAACAGGCGGGTCAGGAATCCCGTGTCATTTTCGTTAGTACCATTTATTTTCACCAAATTGCTTCCAGAAGCAGTGCAGTCCTCTTTTGCGTTTTCCCATGTTTTTGAAGTCCTGTGCTTATAGTAGCAAGATAATCCATTCAGGTGTCCTTCATTATGATCAGGGCAACTCAATGGACCTAATGGATAGGAAAAATTAAATATAACGGTTTCAAATGAATGTCGTTTAATATTTAGAGCCGCCTGTGTCTCCTAGTGACTGAAAAATATCTTTCTCATGAATTCACCAGGCTTAAAATTCACCGTCACATCTCCATCATTGCCTATAAGCACATATCTAGATTACAGTCCTTGAAGTATGCAGAATGTTTGTCAGGGACACCCAACGACGGTTTCCTCCTAAACACATTGACGATACTTGTTGGCTATCCAGAGCACTTTTAGACCTTTATAAGTGCATTCTAAGCGGCGCTATAAAATTTTTATCTGTTCGATCATCCCAGGGGAACGTGAATCTTTCGAACAGTATAAGGGCTTCAGTACATTATTTTCCCGGAAAATTTGAAAAGCGATTTAACGTATTTTGGATCCGAAAATTGTAGGTTTTCTTTTTTCTACGAAAAATAGCCTAGCCTGGGGAGTGAAATGTGAAAATTTAACGTCAGAAAATCGTAGGGAATTTATTGGACAAGCTTCGAAAGTTGTACATGAATGGAACGTTCATCTAGAAATTTTTAGCCGTCCCCACGTGACAGAAAATTGTAGCCAATATTTGCTTCTCCGAAGGAGATATTTTGCAGACTAAAACATTCTTGAGTGCCCCTGGTTTGCCACATGACCCTAGTTTAGTGGCCTTAGCACTCACGAGTATCCGGTAGCTCAGTCGTAGAGCATCTGTACTAGCAACCAGAAGCTCATAGGTTCTACTGCATTTTGGAGTACTCAGATTTTTTTCTTTCGAGCCGCCTTTGTTACGAATGAAAAAACATCTTTCTCATAGATCCTTATCAGCATGTTCCTAATAAAATCTGTAACTATGCGGTCGATTAGTCAACCAGTCACACTGTCCATCGGATAGAGAATTATCCAAGGGGTAGGGTTAGTTTATTTTTGAACAACTGGCGTCAGAGCCTGCATGAATTTCAGTCGTTTTCTCACGTCTCCCTCGGCGGCAGGCCTCTCTCCTCCGCAGAAGCCACTTTGAGTGGTGGAAAGGCTTGTAAGAAAGGAAAAGAGAGCGCGCATCCATTCCATCGTACACCGCGCGCTTTCTCTTTTTTTTTTCGATTATTGCTATTTTTATAGGGATACTCAGCGGGAGCCTCTACGGAGGAGAGAGGCAGCAGGGTTCGACACAGGGAGAAGGATCTCTTTCGGGAGTTTGCAACTCGAGAAGACGGCCGAAATTCAGGCAATCAGAGCTATAGCTCAGGCTCTAAGCGAACATGTTGAAACGTTTTTGTCCAGCACGGTAGAAAAGTGCTTCGCATTCGCTGAAAATTGGATGAAGTATTGAATCATTGCAAAGGCATATGAACGCGAAATTTGCTTAGTCAACTGAAACTTTACAAAAGTTGCGTTAATACGGATTTTTGCAAGCATCAACGAATTCATTATTGTAAAGGAGCAATAGGCCACTTGCACTAAGAGGTCACGTGACCAATGCTTTTTCTAAACAATGAGTTGGAATCTTGCTGATGCCAAAAATTGACAAAGCACATAAAAATTATCTTAAACCCGAAGTTTGAGATGAAACGCATTTAAGGGAGATACTTGATGTTACTTTGATTTTTCGACAAAGTGGTATGATTTGTAATGGCCGCCATGTTGGAGGGTATACTCTTGCCCTCCAACATGGCGGCCAAAACTGCTTTTTGCTTATATCCGGGCTAAGATGTGCTGCAAACGTTACCACAACATTTTTTCAACATTTTCCTTGAATTTTAAGTGCAAAATTTGTGCTCAGAAAGGGGTAATTCATAATTTTAAAAATCACATTTTGGTCACGTGACTAGCTACGAACTTACTTATTTTAAGAAAATGGTGCGGGTTTGAAAAACCAAATCACTATTATTTTGTTTAAGATATGACCCACTAATCGTTTTTCGAAAACCGAATCATATAACTTTCATTTTCATAAAACGATGTCACATGACCTCTTAGAGCAAATGGCCTATTACTTTTGCTTTATCAGATCCTTCTGGCAAACATTTCTCCATGGGCATTGTTGTCCCTTGTATAAGCCTGGTTACTTTCTTTGCGTATTTAGAAGCTATTCACCTTTCGGTCTTTCACAGATGTAGTAGTCGGTTTCCTTGCAACATTCAGTAAGGTTCCAGCCATATCTCAGTAGTTCTACACATTTGGTCCCATTCCCATTAAGCTTACTTGTTGTGTTTCCATACCAGTTGACGGATAAAGAAGGATTAAAAGAACTTCCATCGTTCCATGAATATATATCCTTCGGAAGCCGATGAACCAACCCAATCCAAGCAGATTGGTTTTTTAACCTCGGAGACAACAGTTTATGAACAAATTGCTTTTCCTTTTCACTTATCATGCTAACGAGATAACCTTCAAACCCCAAACACACGCGCGACGCTTTTAACCAACCGCCGAATATCTTGGAATTTTCTTTTTTTTCCATCACCTTGTAGCAAGAACGTTGAAACTCAATCCAATCATCAGGGCAATGTAAAGCTAAAGAAAAATGAACAAATTAAAATTAATAAAGTGATCTTTGTCTCTGGAGATAAATTTCTGCCATTTCCTTATTTCAAATCGAGAAGGGATGGGTACAAGCCGGTTTTTTATGGGTTAAACAACACCAGACCCACATACTCAGAAAGAGCACATTGAAAAACCTCTTTTCTGCCTGCCAGCTGGTAGTCTACCACGCATCCGTTATTTATTCGCCTTTTCTAGATTTAAATTTTTAATTATTTCAAAACAGTTGTAAATTTTGTTCTTTGTAGCCTTTTTAACACTTAGATAGAGTCTATTTGTAAGCTATTGTATATTGTAAGGCAGGTTTTATCTGTGTCAACTTGAGCACTATATAGGGCATTATTATCCATTCAAAATATTTCTCCAATTCTGATTGGCTAAAAGCACACGCATAATTCACCATAACCAGTTACTGATGACCAAATTTGGAAGAATTTTGTGTTTAACGAGGAAATGACGTCAAAAATGCAGCCTTCTACAGGTTAATGCACCGTTAACCGAGAAGACCTGGGGACGAGGTTGAGTTGTTTTCGTTGTGAAAGAAAATGGCGGACACTTCACTCGTTTCAAGAGTAAGAACTACAGCTGGAACTAGGCGAAATAATGGCTAAAAACATAGCAAAAACAGCAAGACGACAACACGGAGGCGACATCTGCTATCTGGAGAATACTTGCGGAGCTGGACAAACCTAAACGTACACTATCGAAGATAAACTTAAGATCGATGCAGGTTAGCACGTTTTAGCTATGTTTTTAAACTGGGAATTATTTTTAATGAATAATAAAGCAATTAATGAATTCGGCTTTCGTAGGATGTGAAGAATTATGGAGATCTCGGAGGGTGTTATCCACCTCAGCCTTCGGCCTCTGTGGATAACACCCTCCTCGATCTGCTTAATTCTTCATATCCTACTCAGCTTCATTCATTAAGTGCTAATTATTTTCATCGATATAGTGCTATAGAAGTAAATAATTATAGCTATCATTGTTTTGTTTCGAGTAACTTGTTGTTGTTGTTTTTTTTTTACCAGCTGGTGATTGTCCCACAACCAACTTTCCCGCAATAAATTGTTGTTTTCCATAATATATAGGTTTAGCCAGGGTTAAAAGGGAAGCCCTTGATTATATTTAAAGTTTGTCCAAACAAAATATAGAATCATGTAATGGCAAGCGGCGAAGGCAACGCCGTAGAACGGTGAAAAACAACAATAGGTCTAATTAGCAAAAAAGTCACTTTGCACGGACAGCACACTTTTTTGTACATTTCTTTGCCGTTGTTTTGCACGACTACAATGTTAAACTTCCAGAAACTTCTTTGTTACACTTTTTTTTGGAGGAAATGTCGAACGTGTTCTCATTCACTTTTTTTTCACTGCCGCTCATTTTCACTTTGCATTAGTGGCCGCTAGCATTTCTCATTTTGTTACCGCCGCTACAAAGTTTTCATGTTGTTCTTCCAACAAAAAAATGTCTGCTTTGTTTTTCTTCTCATTGAGCTTCGCTGGCCTGCCGCCTACTTTCTCTTTTTCTCTGTCTTTCTCTTGCTCTATATTCCAAATTTGTGGACAAGACAATTAATCTGTTAAACCGAATACTTTAGACACCACGGATACAGAAACAATCTCCACTTTCTGTTTTCGTCTTTATTGACTCTTTAGTTGTCTCTGCTTTACAAGACGCCGGTGGTTATGCGATTTCCAGCCAAAATTACCTTGAGTTGCATTTCGGTTGCCATACCTGTTGATTGAGTTATTTTATACATTGGTATGCCTGTGGTGCAGATAGACGGGCGCCCGGTCGATCGGTGTACGGTCACGTGATTACCAAATTGTCTAGGATGGGTAGATCTAACTAGCCATGGAGCTCCGCTATAATCCGATTGGTCAACTTTCTCTAAGTGGCCCCGGTTACAGTAGTCGCGCTGTAATTACAGGGCTTGTACATATCTGGGCGTTTTACCCCAAAGTGAGAACGAAATGGCGATTTGTAACATGAGTGAAATCATACTGATCATATTATAAGTGGGTATGCAAAATCGAATAAAGAATGCAAAGAATTCACCATTTTCACATTGCCCATCATACCACGAGGAGCCGCAAGCAGTAAAATTTTTGTCCCGTAATTTAATCAGTTAAATCATCAAAGTTGACAGGTCTTTCTGATGATCAAAGCGACCGTTCGGTTTACCATTTACACCTTCAGTGCAAAGATTGTCACGGGAACATTAACACCTTCAGGATAATTGCTTGCCATAACAGTGGTAGGTCGCGCGCGTCTGGTCGGTTTCAAAGAACGTGATCGTGACTGTTGTTTTCATTCAGTGACTGTGCGCGTTGATATGCCAACGTTTAAAACAGACTGCAACATTAAATTTTTGTTATAAAAGCAAAGACGCTGCTGAGTAGAAACTAAACCGTCCCAGACTTATTCCGTTTCATTCGTGTACTTTCATTTTGATGGGGTCTGTATGATGAATTTACTTCTGCCTTCTAATCAGGCACGTAAACAACAGAGAGATAAAACATTTCATTTTGCTTTTGTGGAGTAAATTCATCTTAAAAAAGTTAAACTAGTGGACCACTTTCTCCGCGTACTTGTAAAAATAGGCATTCAATATGTCGCGCTACAGTGTAAAAATCTTCTTGTCGTGGATTAGATTTCAGTATACATATTGTTAATCTTCATTTCGCGCCAGAATAAATTAGTTTGCGCGCAAAGGGCTTCTAAAAAAAAATCACAAGGTTTGTCCCACTTCGAGTCCACCTTCTGGAGATACGTCGGCATGGTAGCTGGAATACATTGCCGAGGCGAAGATCTGGCATTTTTTCCTCCTCGTCTTTTTTTCCTCCGACGTTTGTTTATATTAGTACTGAGAATGCCGTGCATATCGGTGGATTTTACGTCAGTCAAGCGGCTTAAGTTCCTGCGGCTTGCTACTCATCATAAAGAAGAGTGCCAGAATCGCTTTGTTTGCCTTTAACAGATTTTTGTCGAATGCAAGGTAAAAGAACGGACTACTGTAAGGTAAGAATTGAAGTTTTAATTAAATTTGTTTCTCGGCACAAAATATTGCATACAACTCGTGAAACCCGTGAGTATTACCTCTGTTTAATATACCGCATGACATGCGATGGCCCCTCGCTTTTACGATGGATAAGACGGATACAAACAATAATTTCTTTCGCAACGTTTAGTATAATTTACTTAATATGGAGATCATCTGAGAACGATTTTTCGTTATATATGCTTCATTTCTTGGCTTATTTCGGCTTCGTGCAAAAAATTAGATGACAATGTTTGTGTGTTATAATTATACTGATAATTTCTTGCACCTTGAAACTCATGAAAGCCAAACTTGTTTAACCCTAGCAAGAAACTCTTTTAATGGAGGAACTCAACCTGATAGTTGCACTAAAATCTAATAATTGTTACTGCATTTGCATGCTCTCTGTAACCTCGTGGGTAGAACATACCTGATAGTTATATTAATATAATCACTGCGTTTGCTCTCTGTAACATCGTGGGTAGAACATTCCTGATGGTTACATTAATAATAATCACTGAATTTGCTCTCTGTAACCTCGTGGGTAGAACATACCTGAAGGTTACGTTAATAGTAATCATTGCATTTTCTCTTTGTAACCTCGTGGGTAGAACATACCTGATACATGGTTACATTTATAATAATACTCACTGCATTTGCTCTCTGTAATCTCGTAGGTAGAACATACCTGAAGGTTACGTTAATAATAATGATTGCACTTTCTCTTTGTAACCTCGTGGGTAGAACATACCTGATGGTTACATTAATAATATCACTGTATTTGCTCTCTGTAACCTCGTGGGTAGAACATACCTGAAGGTTACGTTAATAACAATCATTGCATTTTCTCTTTGTAACCTCGTGGGTAGAATATACCTGACGGTTACATTTAATAATAATCACTGCATTTGCTCTCTGTAACCTCGTGGGTAGAACATACCGGAAGGTTACGTTAATAATAATCATTGCATTTTCTCTTTGTAACCTCGTGGGTAGAACATACCTGATGGTTACATTAATAATAATCACTGCATTTGCTGTCCGTAAATGGGTAGAGTATACCTGATGGTTACATTAATAATCACCATTGCATTTTCTCTTTGTAACCTCGTGGGAAAAAAAATTAATGCCTCTCTCCTGGAAATTTTGCCCTGTCCTTTGAGCATAGTGATCTTTGGGTAGCGAATTCACGAAAACAGGTAAAACGCTTTTTTTAACAACAGCATTTAATTGTATTATTTGGCTTTTTGAGGGACGTTCAACATTAATGGAATAGAATATAAAAAAAGCTGATAAAGCGGAAAAAGTTATCTTTACAAAATGCGCTTTGACAATGTCAAGGAGTGAAATAAGCTGAAGTTTTGTAGATGTCCGTCAAAGATGCGAGGAGAGTAAGAGAACCTTGAAAAATCCGTTTGCATCGCACTTGACCGGGTTCAATACGACACTAAAACTTCTCAGGATTACAGATCAATGATATATTTTTCCTGTTAAGTTTCGATTTGGGCAAAATCTGGATTTTTGGCGTTACTTTTATTGCCGTTGGCCGGAGGACCAAAAGATTGGAAGCACTTTGATGCCGATTGAAGGCTTATTTCTTCTGCTAGCTTCCATACAAGCTCAGATAATTGTGAAAGGAATACGCAGAAATGAAACGGCAACAATAAAGACTGTAAGAAAGAAACCATTGAGACATTGATGTGACTGAGGAGATCTTGTGGAGGGGAGCATCGTGAAGCAGGATGTTTTGCAACGACGCGTTAGTAAACGTTTTTAAATGAATCTCCCTAACGGCCGACAAAATCAAACAAACAGGCGCTACATGTTTAGAAAAACTAGTGCCATGAAATCATAATATAATTTTTGACTAACCTTTCTAATGATTCATAGCGTTGAGATTGCATTTTTATTTATGTCTTTCAAACGTTTGAGGCTAGAACGCGAGCAAATCAGGCAGATATTACTAGACTTGGAACAACTGACCTCTGACACGAGTTTCAAATTAGAAAATATGTTTTTAAAGCGAGCGGAACGAGATTTTCGGGTCGCGAGGCGGCCCAGCTAGCGATAAAATCGCGATAAGTCTTCGAACCGCGAGCCAAATTTTTATATAAGACGAAAGACTTCTTTGAAAGTCTAAAATATTACTTGAGAATATAAACAACAAATCTCTGTCGGCGGTGCGGTCCGGAAGGAAATCTTATCGAGTCAATATGACAGTTCTATTGTCTTTTGAAGAAAAAAACAGATGACGCTCGCGCGTGCGCATAATTGGGACACTGTCCCTTTAACACCTTTTCTCTAGCTTAACTGGCGAAGATATTCTTGGAATTTGCCCTTCAATTCCAAATTCTTTGATGTGCCGCCAGATGCCGTGCAAAAGTATCACCGCTTGCGGCTCCTCGTGACATAGGCATTGTCTTCAATTTCTCTTGGGACGACTATGATAAAGCCTTTTCACTCACATGATTAGTATCAATGCAAAATTATTGGAACAAAAGAAAGCGTTCAACTACCACTGGATTGGTTTGGAACACCAACATGGCCGCTGTGACGTCATGTGTAAACGCTCGGAACAATGTTATGCAAATTTCTTTTTTGGGGGGGGGGGCGGGTGGAGAGGTGGCGAGGGGGTGCGGGAGAGGTGAACAAGGGACAGGGTTATAATATGCCTTAATGACTTACCAGCATGAGATATAGTTGTCGCGAGCAAGAGTGAGACGAACAAGTGTATATTGGGCATTGTGACTCAGATCTAAGGTAAGAAGCAAAGAATTTTTATAATAAGCAGAAGCCCATAACCCGAAGCGAGCAACTCCCATACTAGACCTATGTCACGGCGTTTTTAGGGACCAGTTTAATTTATTTTTAGACACATTTTAGGGCACTTTTTCCCGCGAAAATAGAATCTCTACCAAGTCTATGAGCGCGTTCGAAGTATAAGATATCAAAAAGGACAACTAAATGTTATTAAAAGGCAAAAAATATCATTTTTAGGTCTGTAGGTTTTGCTGACTGGTTTGTAGAATTTACCAAATATTCAAAATTCGCGCCAAAAGCGTTCTAAACACAAACTGGTCCGTGAAAACGCCATGACACAAGTACATGAAGGTGCTCGCTCCGGATTATGGGTTCCTGTATGGTTGCTATACATGTGTGATATTTTACTTCAACAAGTGACGCCATGTTATTTTGTTATATTCCTAGAATTTCACTCAACTAAACAGGGACTGCCATTGGTTGATTCTTGGTCACGTGGCCTTGACTAAAATCAAATGTATCCCGATCGTGATACATTAAACAATGTATCCCGCTCGGGATACATTGCAGCACGTGATCAAAGCATGGTGGAAAGTGGCGTGATAGAAGGCGGGAAAAACACCGCCAGGTCCTGCCGGTTTTCTTTTTCGTGAATGAACACAACAACACAATCACGAAGCCTCAAGCTAAAAAGCAACGATTTTTAAAGTTATCCCAGAAGTTCTTAGAAGAAAAACAGCAGCTAGTGGAGGAAAAATATGCAGATGATATAAGGAAAGTACTTTTGTTTGTAAATCATTCATTCAGTGGTTTTGAGAATTAAATTTGTGTTGTTATAAGTACCCAGTCGACTGTTTTGGTTCGTTTTCGTTCGCTCCGGCTATTCTTTTGTTGCTGTTGAAGTGAAAGACTAGAAATATAACAAAACACTTAATGTCAGATCCCTCGGGAAACCAGTTAGTTTTGTTTTCCCTCGAGCCCTTATGTTTCCCTCGACTTCGTCTCGGGAAACATCAGGACTCTCGGGAAAACAAAACTAACTGTTTCCCTTGGGATCTGACATTAAGTGTATAGTATTTTAGTTGCGCACTAATTTCGGGGTACCCATCCCACAATGACGGTCAATATGAAAATCGCAGCAAAAGTCATGTGCGGCCTTTCGACAGTTACTGCGACGCAAGGACAAAGTTAGTTGATCGTCAGCCGAAGCTATTCAAATTGACTATCGCAAAACCGAGTTTTTCATGAAGCCACAGCGATAATTTTCCTTGTCTGCGGTGGGTCTCATAAATGCAGCTTTTTTTTTTAGACTTTGGTGTTACAAACTGGATAGTATGCTTTGATATGGTTAGAAACAGCGGCTGCTACAAATACAGTTTCAAAATTAAATTGCATGAAATCCTAGTCAAGGTCGTGGGAAAAGATAAAAAGAAAAGAACATAAAGATTTCAGTAAGACCCAGTAAGAGCTGGTGAAGAAGTTTATATTTTTGTACACCAGTTGTCAATAGAGCGTGTTCACGCACGTGCCCAGCCGCTATGCAAATTAATTGCAGCAAAAGAAAGCGTTTACATAAGGAAAGAGTTCAACTCCCACAGTATTGGTTGGGAACACAAACATGGCCGCCGTTCCAGTGTTCTAGAACACCAATACGGCCGCCGTGACGTCATGTGAAAAAGCTGAATCACCTTTGCGGTGCTCTTCACGCGACCACTAAAGATTTCCTTTAACTCGCTGTGAACTGTTTTTATATCTACAACAAACAAAAATTATTTTTTTACGCCTGTTATACGAAATAGGAATTGTATGGACAGTTTTTGTCCACCAGTTTCCTAATTTGAGAAAATCTTTAACCTAAGATTGACGTTTGTCGTGAAAGTATGTCTCCCCAACTGATCGGTGAATTTCGCATCATCATTTCAACACAATATGTAATGTTTTATCCTCTCTTTTAAAAGAAAACAAAGTTTGCACCTTTTATCGTTTAATCCACGGATCTCTGGAATAGAAAGGAAAGTTTCAAAACCAAAAATCTTAAGCAGAATATTTTTGCAGGGACTAAGAGATATCAAGAAAACCACAAATACACCACCTGATTATATAGAGAACGTTCGTCAAGTTAAGTGGAAGAGTCCAATGTCGTCAACCAGTGGAGTTGTTCAAGGCCTTAACTTTGCAGCAGTCACCTGTTGTACAAGGAAGTAATAACGGAGTTAATAAAACGACAAGACGGATCTCGATCTTACTTCTATTTTTAGGAAACTTGCTTCTTAAATTTTTTTGATAAAATTGGATATCAAAGTTCTCAAAACACGAAACGGCTTTACTTAATTCAGCATGATAGATCGTTGAATGCGGGTCAGAGTTGTAAATTTTGCTTAGAATTTCTTACGTAGGATATCTTGCGCCTTCATTATTAAAACCATACACATAATTAATTCATCGCCAACTGTTCGTTTGTCGATCGCATTTTGATTCTGAAATTTGAGAAACAACTGCTTTCTTAAATTTATGCAGAGAGCAGTGTAAATCAACCTGTCAGTTTTTACCAAGTAAAATTTCAAAACTTGTTAATAGTAGCCAATGATAAACCGAGTCAGAACGTTGGCTACTAACAGTTATCCCAGCAAGGAAATGCAAAATCATAAATTCATTCATTCCAAATAAAAAAAAGTCATGGAGATTACTTGCATCATGAGCGAGTATCAAGCAATCGATTCTTCTCATCCTGATTATTGCATGCCTAAAGCAACTCCAGGGAATTTCGTTTACGAGCTGTTTGGCGAAATATTTTCTCAGTGACTAACATATCTTCTCTAACGCAATTTGTCTGATAGATTCAAGAAAAAATTCACAGGGTTTGATAGATTTTGCTCCTTGAATTCGAAATTTCAAAATTAACACTCCAGATTAGGCGGAACAGTCGGTCCAATCCTAATCGAAATGGGGCTCACTTTTTGAAAGTTTAATTACTTCCTCCGTTTTTTCGACCAACACTGACGAGGGCTCTTACACCTCCTCCTACTATTTAAAAAGGCACTATTTGAGTGTTCATATACATAGCACGAAAATGCTAATTTAGAACACTACTTGACGCCGTGTTACGTGGACAATCGAGCCACGCGAAGGTCTGGCCGTTTGCAGGGCCAAGGGAATACCTTCATTTCTCAGTGACTCTGACTGCAATAATGGACCATCTACCGACTGACCTAGTTATGCTGCAGTTAAAACGGGAAAGACCGGGAAAGATCTTAGTCAGTTAGTGTCCTGCCAGGCAGGTTCAAACCAGCGTCCATCGCTTAGCAGAGGGTTACTTCATCAGCTCCGCTACTCGGGTGATGCAAAACCGCCACTTCGCCACGAAGACAAAAAAAGGAAAATTTTTGGATTCAAAAATGTGATGGAGAGAGGAATAGAAAAAATTTCACTTTCGTAAAACGTTAAAAATAGCCTAACCTGGGGAGTGAAATGTGAAAACTTAAACTTCAGAAAATCGCAGGGAATTTAACAGGAATGGAAAGATTATTCGGAAATTTTTAGCCCTCCTCAAGCCACAGAAAACCCTAGGCAACATTTGCTTCTCCGAACAGTTGCCCTTGCTGGGGCTTCATTGTTCAAAACTAGAATTCCTGTTAGTTTGCCCTTGGTGTCTCCAGCCCTGAATGCACAAATAAACGAAGATTTTTTTTTAAAAATTTTTACGTGTAACTTACTATTTAATTTCATAGTATACTGTTAGTACTTACCAGAATTGTGTCGTTGTCAGAGAAAGATTAACCCGACAAAAAATCCATCGCGCCAGTCGCCGTTTAGTCAGTTTAATTATATCTGTTAAACAAACTGCAGTTGCCTCTTTACGACCAGGTGGCTGAGTTTAACACTTTATACCCATTAGAACAGGATCGGAAATTATAAATGGAGAGTAGTCTGCTATGTTGGAAATTAAGTCTCATTTTGGACTTCCTTAATTAATATGTATAACGGTCGAGTCCATGACGTCACCCATTGTTATAACCTAGGGAAAAAGTGCCTTCCCCCATACTAATGAGGGTCTTCCTGCATACTAATTCGGTATATAGGTTTACTAATGAGCGAATACTACAATAGGCACAATAGGCTTGCCTCGGCTTGCCTGTTAAGTAACTTGAGCTCGGTTTTCGGACCGTCTATTAAAAGGAAAATAAGAATAAGAAAACCTTTCACGTAGCAATGCGAGAAACGGCTTTCTATATCCTATCCTATCCGCTAAAACTCAGATATATAAACAAAAGACAAACAGAAAGTGGAGTTGAAAAGTCTTTATTTCAATTTAGTTTAAGTCTTCTTATTTAGCTCTAAAACTCGGATATATATAAACAAAACACAAATACACAAAGTGGAGCTGAAAACTCTCTATTTCAATTTTGTCTGACTATTGCAAAACCGTTTTCTCCGTTCTATCTCGAGGAAATGAAAAACTATTAGAGTCTCAGAGTTTCACGCACCGCTAGTCAGTCAATTATGCGAGTTCATAAGCCCAAAGTTGAATACAAATTAGTTCATCTCTACAGCTAGACCCAAGGGAGCACCTTGACGTATTATTATATAAACAATTTTAAATAACTTAACAAGGATCAATTAAAAAACGCGACTAATAATTTCTAGCAATAAAAACACAAGAGAGATATCGTTTTAAAAACTTTATTAAAAACGATGACAAAAAGAGTCAAATACACAGCGATTTGTAAGGAATGGAAATTAATTAATCTTCATCTTCGTTCTCCTCTTAGCCTGCGTAGCAAGCGTTTCTGTGCGGTTTAGGAGCAAAGAACGAGGAACGAGAGTCAAAGACCGCGCGAAAAATGGCGTTAGTAAAAGAGCGGGGAGGGGGTGGGGAAGAAAGGAAGGAAACGCTTGCAGACTAACCCCGGGAATTTGAAAACCGCCCACTTGGCCTATCATGCCTGAGTTCGCGCACCGATATTTGATGCTGTCATCAGCTGT